CCCCCCCCAGTCCCTGGCCAGTGCTGGTCTCCTTTCTGCCTATGGTTTGCTCTAGGAACCACATGCCAGGGGAATCATGCAGAATTTGTTAAAGCAGGATTGTTTAACACATGTATCTTTATCTTGTACACAACTTAAACATTTCTGTTTTTCGTAAAGAGATGAAAGGTGCTTCAGGTGTGGTCCGGCCGTGCCAGGAGCGGGTGAGCGTTTCAGATGCCCCTTAACCTGGGAGACTAGTTTCCTCCCAGGCTCTGTCGGGAGTTCTCGGGGTGGACGTGTGGGAGAGGCATGTCTGTTTCTTTAAGCAGAAAGGACTCCGTCCTTTGCAGGGCTGCTTTTCCTCTTGACCTTGTCTCTCTGAGCGGTCAGAACCCTCTCGTGCCATTGTGTCCCTAGCAGTGGGGGAACGGTCGAGTGGCATGTGGCTTGTCCACTTGATAGGCTCCCCTGAACCATCACAAATGACGCTCACAAACTACTAGCTTAGGCAGATCTTTGTAGTGAAAAGAGCAGAATAAACGAGCATCTACTGAAGGAGAAAAACATTTTTTAAACCTGTGCATAGGAGAAAAAAAGATTACACCCAAATGTTTACAATGGCTAAGTCTTGCTTTTTTTTTTAATAATCAATTTCTTAAATTGGCTTCAGAGAGATGAAGGGAGGGAGGGAAAGAGAGAGAGGGGGGGAGAGAGACATCGATTGGTTGCCTCCCACACATGCCCCGACCAAGAATCAAACCTGCAACCTGGGTGTGTGCCCTGACTGGGAATCGAGCCGCCTACACCTTTTAGTGCACCTTTTAGTGACGCTCTAACCAGCTGAGCCACGCCAGCCAGGCTACAAAGGTTATGTTTTGAATGATAGAACTCGTTTCATTTTCCTAGACTTCCTACATTGACTCTGTGTAATGAATGAAGCGAATTTCAAAGCAGTTTTGTAAACTTAACTTTACAGAAGATTTTAATAAAAAGTGTATTGTGACACATTACTCAGGTTGTAAGAGGCTGGCCTGTGACTCACAGGGATATTCCAGAATGATGAAGAAAGACTTTTCTAGAAGAAAGGTGAATGAATTTGCTCAAGGGAAGCGGGAAGACATTGTAACTAGGAGCTCACTGTGTGACATGGGTGAACTGTGATGAGAAAGTAGATGAGGTGCGTGCCTGTGACAGCAATGACGAGCTCTAGCAGGCAGTAACCTAATGACCTTACTCTGTAATGACCTGATTTCCTTTGTTAAGAAGGAAACCAACAGTGCATCTGTCAAGAAACAGCAGGCTTGTTTGTCAAGAATCTGTTTAGAAAATATTAGCAAAGCCCGGCCAGCGTGGCTCAGTGGTTGAGCCTCAATCTATGAACCAGGCAGGAAGTCAGGGTTCAGTTCCTGGTCAGGGCATGTGTCCTGGTTGCGGGCTCGATCCCCAGTAGGGGGCACGCAGGAGGCAGCCAATCAACGATTCTCTCTTATCATTGATGTTTGTATCTCTCTCTCCCTCTCCTTTCCTCTCTGAAATCAATAAATAAAAATACTTTTTTGAAGAAAATATTAGCAGAGCAGAAATTGTATGAATACTTCCAGTGACCTTTGAGAGTGTGACCTCAAGAAACATGCTGAATTATTTGGGGTGGATTTACTAGAAACAGTCCAACTCGAGAGCCCTGGCAGTCTGAGACCAGGACACACCGTGTGTGAGGAATTGTTTCCTGTGAGGCAGAGGAGCCGGCTGCTACAGCAGCAGATCCTGCTGACTCTAGATTTGTGTGTGGATGGTGGTGGGTAGAGTAAGTACCAAGTTTGGGGCCGTAAGAGAAAGAAACAGGAGGTTTTCTGTGAGGTGTGCAACCAAGTCTGGGGCTTCAGTTTTTCCGTTCCCCCCACAGAGGACAAAACTGCCAAGGCCGAGGCTCTGCCGGCTGGAGATGGCACGCAGCTTCCCCCCGGACACCCGGCCCCCGCTCCAAGCCAGGGCGCTGCAAGCAAATGCCCCTTCCTGGCAGCCCAGATGAGCCAGCAGGGCAGCAGCGTGTTCCGCAAGGCCAGCCTGGAGCTGCAGGAGGACGTGCAGGAGATGCACGCCGTGAGGACAGGTAACCCCGCGCGCCCCGAGCCCGGGAAGCGGGAGATGCCGCATGGCTCTCTCGGACCCTCGGGTTCATTTACAAGCTGCTGTTGGGAGAACTTGTGTAAACACCTTCCCCTGCAGAGCCCAGGAGGAAGCTATGGAAAGAGGGGTGCATTGCGCAACGTGGGGTTTTCTGTTGGGGTGGGTTGTCCAGCTCTTACAGGAACTGCCTGGTTTCTGAGCACACCCGGCAGGCATGGCTGTTCCCACTCCCCTTTGTGTCTCCCCCTCGTCTGAGGGGATGAAAGGTAAAAACAGTGTCACTGCAGGACGTGATGGTCTCGGGACTCCCACGCTGTGTGTCTCGCTGATGGTTAGTGAGTGGCAACCTTCATCCCAGTGTGGCTTCTCCATGGAGCACCCACGGTCCCCGAAAAACGTCCCCAGCAGAAATGCTGCCTTTGGCTGGAATTGTTTTCTGCAGTGAAAACTGAGAGTAGGGTTGGGGGTGTGGTGGCTGGGGAAGACCTGTCAGCCAGCTAGAGAGCCTTGGCCTCAAACATTCGCTGAGGCTGGCTAGTGGCTCTGACTCTAGCCAATCAGTAGCCAAGGGGGAGCGAAGCTTCACACCCCCGTTACAGCTAACTGCGGTCACGATGGGCTTTGCCAGCCGTGGGAGACAACGTGTCCGGAAGGAATTGTGACTCGGAATTCAGTGGGGGTCCCCTTTGCCTCTGTTGCTTTCGTTACAGAGGTTGCCCAGGCCTCAGTGAACCCCAGTGTGATCAGCATGAAGACGCATGGAGGGGAGCCGAGTGGTTTGCTGAAGAACTTCCAGGACATAATGCGAAAGCAAAGGCCGGAAAGGGTGTCCCACCTGCTCCAGGATAACTTGCCGAAGTGTAAGTCTCACGCTCTTGCCTGATGCAGGAGAGTTTAGAACTTAAGCACGTATCACACTCAACCCCAAATCGCACGTGAGGTGGGGACTACAGCCGTGTCCCTGCTTGATGCCATAGTGAGTACAAGCCCTGCTGGCACCTGCCTTCTCTCAGCACCTGCATCCACACTGGCGCAGTGGCAAGCACTGGCCAGGCACAGTCTCCCGACAAGAATGTGCATCACTGGCCCATATGAACACATCACTCATTTGCCCAGCACCCCCCTTAGTGGCTGAGCCGGATGGGAACCCGGGTCTTCCAGCCAAGCCCAGATGTGCTTCCTAACCACCAGGCTCTGCTGTCTCTCGTTGGGTCTTTAGCTGTTTCCACTTTCCAGTACGATCGTTTCTTTGAGAAGAAAATCGATGAGAAAAAAAACGACCACACCTATCGTGTTTTCAAAACCGTGAACCGGAGGGCACAGCTCTTCCCCATGGCGGACGACTACTCGGACTCCGTCAGCAAGAAGCAGGTGTCGGTCTGGTGCAGCAACGACTACCTGGGCATGAGCCGCCACCCCCGGGTGTGCGGGGCGGTCATGTGAGTAGCCCTGGGCGTCCGGTCCCGCGGGCGGCGTTCGGTAGGACGCTGATGATTTATGGGGACTGGCTCTCCTGTGGGGGCGGGGCTGCAGCTGAAAGTGAAGTCCACAGCGAAGGACTGTCCTTAGCCTTTATTTATTTATTTTTTAAAATATATTTTATTGATTTTTTACAGAGAGGAAGGGAGAGGGAAAGAGAGTTAGAAACATCCACGAGAGAGAAACATCGATCAGCTGCCTCCTGCACACTCCCCACTGGGGATGTGCCCGCAACCAAGGTACATGCCCTTGACCGGAATCGAACCCGGGACCCTTGAGTCCGCAGGCCGATGCTCTATCCACTGAGCCAAACCGGTTAGGGCTGTCCTTAGCCTTTAAACGGCTACGGGGGACTCTTACACCTGACGTGCAGGCAGTTGTTGGGCCCCTTGGTGTGTGAAGTTCAAGTTTATGGGTTTGGCGTACACCTGTGTCCACTTCCTGCCACTTCAGAAAGACATTTAAAAGGCGTTGGCCCTGACCGGTTTCGCTCAGTGGATAGAGCATCAGCCTGCGGACTCAAGGGTCCCGGGTTCGGTTCCGGTCAAGTGCATGTACCTTGGTTGCGGGCACATCCCCAGTAGGGTGTGCAGGAGGCAGCTGATCGATGTTTCTCTCTCATCGATGTTTCTAACTCTCTATCCCTCTCCCTTCCTCTCTGTAAAAAATCAATAAAATATATTAAAAGCAAACAAAACAAACAAACAAAAAAAAGGCGTCGATCTCACTCGGGTCCTTCGGGAGGGTTGCTGTGGCCAGTGGCCCAGGGAGAGCTGCTCGCTGCCGGGAGCCCCTCTGAGGTTAGTGACGGCCCGTCCTGACGTCGCACGGCTGGTCTGCAGAGGCTGAGGGAGCCACGTCCAGGGCCCCTCTGCATCCTGATGCCGAGGCACAGCCAAGAAACCAGCCGGTGCTGAGTGCTCAGGGGACAGTTAGACGAACGCTGTGACCCCAGGAGGCAGCCTCACCTCTGGGACCTTCTCCCTCCGCATCTAGAGACGACGCTGGTAGAGAGTTCTGGGCCCAGGTTCACAGGGAGGGTTCCCAGAACAGGAGTTTGTCTCGTAGGCCCGGAGGGGACCGGTCGCCTCGTGTTCACAGGCAGGGGCGGGCTTATGTGCTGTCCGCCTGCTTTTGAAGGGACACCTTGAAGCAGCATGGTGCCGGCGCCGGGGGCACGAGGAACATCTCTGGAACCAGCAAGTTCCACGTGGACCTGGAGCAGGAACTGGCCGACCTCCACGGGAAAGACGCGGCCCTCTTGTTTTCTTCCTGCTTCGTGGCCAACGACTCGACCCTCTTCACCCTGGCTAAGATGATGCCCGGTAAGGGAGCCCTGGTCCCTGCTTTCTGTGGTTTCCGTTTCCCGTGGTCAGCTGCAGTCCAAAACTATTACATGGAAAGTTCCAGAAACAAGTGAATCACAGGTTTTCCACTGGGTGTAACTGAGTTGTGTGATGCAATCTCCGGAGTCCTGCTCCGTCCCACCTGGGCCCTGACTCATCCCTCTGGCCAGGTCTCCCGCTGCACCGCTCCCCGCAGCTAGTCACTGAGCCGCGGCGTCTCAGTCATCAGATTCGCTGTCACGATAGGTGGTGTTGTGTTGAAGTCTCCCTTACCTACTAATAACGGCTCCCTTAAGTGACGAGGGGAAAGTTCTTAAGAAAAAAAGTTGTATGGTGAGGTGGCTAAGGTCTGTAAGAAAGAATTCTGCCCCTGAGATTGCACAGTGTGTGAATTAAACTCGAGCGGAGGTGTGTACGTCCAGGAGAAGCAGTACTGTGCGGCTCAGTCCTGCCGGTGGTTCCGGCTCCCCCGGGGGTCTTGGAACATGGCCCCTGCGGGCAGCGGGTTAGTGTGAGAGGAATGTTGACAACAAAGAGGCTTAACAGCACCAGTTACGAGGAGTGGCACGCCTGGGGCATTTGTTCTTGATTTGGGCGTGAGTGCTGGCTCGCATTCTAAGTTCCAGCCGAACGTGACCCCAGCGAAGGGTCAGATTGCAAGGGCTTGTCCAAAGCTCATTGCTCCAGATGCGCTTTGTGTTCTACGAAAATCCCGTGGGAGATTCTAATTGTTTGGAGCGAGGCAGCCAGATTTAAAAGCAGGTTAATTGCCTGCTGCAGGGCGACCTGCACCTGTGGGTCTTCTCAAAGGAGAGCCCTAGTCAGGAATTTTGCAGGAAGAAACAGGCTCGCAGTGGCTTTCTCCTACGGGGCGGAAGCAGCGTTTTCTGTGCAGTTGGTTGTCCCTGACTGTTTAGGAAGTAACTTGTCTTCGGTGCAGATGGCAATAAATAAACATTTTTTTGTCTGTGTCAGGCTGTGAGATTTACTCTGATTCTGGGAACCACGCCTCCATGATCCAAGGGATTCGGAACAGCCGGGTGCCAAAGTACGTCTTCCGCCACAATGACGTCGGCCACCTCAGGGAGCTGCTGCAGAGGTCCGACCCCCAGGTCCCCAAGATCGTAGCGTTCGAAACCGTCCACTCCATGGACGGTGAGTCTGCGCAGGGCCAGTCTGCAACCTGAACTGAAGAACTGGCTTGAACTCTTTCTTCTTGTCTTTTTTTTGAACTCTTTAAAAGTGTCTTTATTTTGGCTTTGTAATTTCTTTTCTTTGACCTGTCTGCTAGGGTTTGTGATTGGTGGACATTGGATAGATTTGGGTAAAGGTAGAGTTCCTACTCTAGCTTTTACTCGGCTCTAAGACCCCAAGTCCACCTGGAGACGGGGAAGTGTTAATGATAATACCTGGGACATGTCGTTAGTCCCGGCTGACTCACCGGGACAGAAGGCGGAGGCGCAAGCCCTCAGCGTGGTCTGTGTCCCCGCAGGCGCGGTGTGCCCGCTGGAAGAGCTGTGTGACGTGGCCCATGAGTTCGGGGCGATCACCTTCGTGGACGAGGTCCATGCGGTGGGGCTGTACGGGGCCCAAGGCGGAGGGATTGGCGACCGGGACGGAGTTATGCCAAAGATGGACATCATTTCTGGAACACTCGGTACGTGCTCTGTGCGCCCTGCAGTCTGCATTGAGCACCACTGTCCCAGCGAGTCCACGGCGGGCTGGCCTGACGGGGCCAGGCGGGGAGCGTAGGAAGCCTGGGCCACTTTTGGGGTGAGTTTTTGTTTTCTCAGTGAGGGGCTGGCGCAGCCTAGCAGAACCCCTCGGAGCTGGAGGCCTGGCTTCCAGGATCAAAGTAAATCTCACAGCCGGAACGACAGAAGTGTCTGAGCCCATCCAGACAGCCATGGCTCTCGCCACCCCGTCCGCAACCTGCACTGTGCGCCTCCGACTGTCCCCTGGGTCAGAGAACTAGAATCCCAGTGCTGGTGTCCGAGCGGCTGTAGGACCAGAGGTTCGGTGTCGTGGTGCTGAGCTCTGTGCCACATGCCTGCCATGTGGGGACCAGTCACCTCACAGCTCCCCCTCCTCGAGAGGCAGGGTCTCCTGGGGCCAGACTCGGTGTAAGTCCTGTGTGCACGGCTCACTCGCTGTGTGACCTCGGGCGCAGTTAGCCGTCCGAGCCTCAGCGTCCACAGTAGGACAGTGAGAACAGCCCCTCCCTCTGGTTCTGTGGAGAAGGTAAAGGAACCGTGTGGAAACAGTTACTGTGGACATTCTCTTTGCCGATGAGGCGCTGAAGAGATGGAAATGTAAATCATAAATTTGAGGATTTCAAGTTAGTAAGGCACTTGGAGGCCCAAGTAGCAGTCGTGGAGGAGCAAGGACCCCAGGCGACCCAGGCAGACCCTGGGCAGGCCCACCGGCGAGCAGGGCCCCCCTCCCGGAGAAAGCCCTGGTTCACGTGTCCTAACCCGCAGCTCTTCCTTCAGCTGAGAGATGGGAAAGCATTTCCCAGGAAGAGCTTAAGCCACCCAGCCCTGCAGGGGGTCCCAGCAAGAATGTTAATTACAGAGCAGAGTGAATGGTGAGGGCTCAGGGAAAGAGCTGGGGATCCTGAAACCTGAGAACAGGTTACATAAAGGGACTTAGGGGATGAAAGATGAGGCTGGCCCCAGATCACCCCACCCCCCACGGGTTCTGAGTTTTCATGTTTATCTGGTAAATAAATGCTGATTGTCAGTTTTGTGTTTACTTAAGTAGGAAATAATACGGGTCCCACCAAAACAATGACGCCTTCGCTGGGTGACAGTCCCACCTCCAGGGTGATGCTCACAGGGAGAGGTCGTTCCAGAGCGCACGCACAGGGGAGGGCAGGGAGCCGGCGAGCCAGGCTGCAGTGTGTTGTGCGGGCCCTGGGACCAGGTGCCACTGTGGGGTTCAGGCCCTGGGACCAGGTGCCAGGGTGGCACAGACTGTGGGCAGGACCTTTCCCGGTTTCCTCAGTTCTTCCCTTTGGGAGGTGGGTGGACGTCCTCTCCTTCAGTCTTAGGCCCAATGAAGGAGGTAGAAGCAGGCGCCCGCGGCTCCAGCGCCCTGCTGCGCACCCAGGGCCGCTGCCTAGTGGACTGATAGCCTGTGTCTCCGGTCTCCTCGCAGGCAAGGCCTTCGGCTGCGTGGGCGGGTACATCGCCAGCACCAGCGCCTTGATCGACACCGTGCGCTCCTACGCTGCCGGCTTCATCTTCACCACCTCCCTGCCGCCCATGCTGCTGGCCGGGGCCCTGGAGTCCGTGCGCATCCTCAAGAGCGCCGAGGGGCGGGCGCTGCGCCGCCAGCACCAGCGCAACGTCAAGCTGCTGCGGCAGATGCTCATGGACGCCGGCCTGCCCGTGGTGCACTGCCCCAGCCACATCATCCCTGTCCGGGTAATGGCGGCGGGTGGGCCGCGGGGCTGTGCTCCCCGGGCTGAGACGCTGGGTTCTCGCCTCCTGAGCTGGGGTGGGCGGCGGCGGCGGCCGGGACAGCAGTGGTCCCTTCTCCGAGCACTGGCCCTGACCCCGGGAGCCAGAGCTCGCTAGCTTTGACATGTGGCTTCCTGTTCAGTAACGCTGCTGGTGTCACAGGGAGTCGTGTAGTTAACGCAGTGGCGTGCCCCACGCTGCCTTCACCCCCAGGTGTGCACATCTGCTGTGGGCCAGCTGGCGACACCCGTGGTAGACGCTGCCCCACCCACCTGGGAGACCACTGAGAGCACCCCTCATGGTGCGGGTCTGTGTGGGGTCGGGCGGTGCACTGCCTCCCCGCTGGCCATGCTGCTCGAACCTGTGCCCCACGGTGCGGGCTCATTAGACGCTCCACTAAGAGGGAGTCCATCTGCTCTGACCTCACCTCCTGTCATCAACGCAGGTGGCAGATGCTGCTAAAAACACCGAGGTCTGTGACGAGCTCATGAGCAGACACAACATCTACGTGCAAGCCATCAACTACCCCACGGTGCCCCGCGGGGAGGAGTTGCTGCGGATCGCCCCCACCCCGCACCACACCCCCCAGATGATGGACTACTTCCTGGGTGAGTGCGGACAGCCCCCCGCAGAGCGCACCAAGTCACAGCGCGCTCAGGTAGCCCCAAACGGAACGACACTGGGTGTTTGAGTCACTCAGGCTGCAGAGTCGTTTCGGAAGCTCTGAGGGAGCCTGCTGGTCCCCCAGGGGGTCCACTGCCCCTTGTTGGTGGTGTCCTGGGAGGGGAGAGGCCTCAAAGGCGGGGCCTGTTCTGGCTCCTGAGTCTGGCTTCGCGCTCTCCTCCCCGAGGGTGTGTGGTCCCAGAGCCAGCTGCACACCTGGCCACCCCACACCTACCCCTCTGATAAGAGTGGGGATTCCAACACGCTACTCAGAAGGGTGTGCAGCTTAAAACGTATGAATTGCTTATTTCTGGGATTTCCCGTGTAATATTCTCAGGCCACGGTTGACCACAGGTAACATACTGGAAAGTGAAACTGAGGGTCAGGGAGGGTACTATGCGCCGTCACCGCTGTCTGATTCCAGAATGTTCACCACCCCAGAGAGAAACCCACAGCCACTAGTGGCCACTCCCACCTTCTCTGTGACCCCATCCGCTGCCTGTGTCTGGACTTCCTGTGCTGGAGTCACTGGGTCCATGACCTGGCTTCCTCGCAGTGTTTGCAGGGCCCTTCCAGGCCGTAGCGGAGTCAGGCTCCGTTTCTCTTTATTACCAAGCCGTCTTCCTTGGACGATGGACCACATTCGCCTGTCAATTGATGGGCATTTAGGTTCCACTCTCTGACTCTTCAGAAAAGAACGCTGCTGTGGACATCCGTGTCCAAGTTTTTGGATGGAGCTCTTTTCCTTTCTCTGGGGTATAGATTCCTCTTAATCCTTAACTGTCTGCTCACAGAGTGTCTGCTGGCCACGTGGAAGCGCGTGGGGCTGGACCTGAAACCACATTCCTCGGCCGAGTGCAACTTCTGCAGGAGGCCGCTGCACTTCGAGGTGATGAGCGAGCGCGAGCGATCCTACTTCTCCGGCCTGAGCAAGCTGGTCTCCGCGCAGGCCTGAGTGTCCTGAGCCCGGCCCGCTGCCCGCCGTCCCTCCCACATAGCCTCCAGTGTCGTCTGTCTGCGTGGACTAAATTATTAAATTTTAATCTATAGCGAAGGCACAGTCCTGAAAATAAATTCTTGTTTACGTGCTGGGTCCCCCTGTGTTTGGCTGCAGATTCAAAAAGTCATTTTCTTTTCCTTGAAGTTTGGTGTGTGTTGCTGAGATTTATAAAATGTATGAAAACACATCCTCTGGTAACGGCTTCAAACCTGCGGCAACGGTGGGGCCTCCCGTCGGCTCGAGCCCGGCTGCCTCTGAAAGCCGCTGCGTGGTGACTCATGCCCCGCAGCCCACGGCTCTGACAGCACCGCAGTGACATTTCACTTGCAGTTTCTCATCTCCAGTCTTAACGGGGGCAGCGCCGCCCAGCGACCCGCCGAAGCCGCCCGCTTCCCTTTCCCTTCAGCCGCTGCCTCCACTCACTTCCCTGGGAAAGTGGGGCTGGAGGCCACGCTGTGCTCCGCACCCTGACTTCCCTCCTGTCCTGGGCCCACTGCTGCTTGCACATTCCTGGGACCAGCTCTGTCTTCTCCATGAATTGCTCCCCATCCTGCTCAGCCCCGTGGCCTGCATCAGACTTTGTCACTGCCTTAGAGTAACCAAACTCCTGACCTGAGGAGTGAGTGGGTGAAGATGGACATATGGACAGCGGACTATTAATGCAGCCACAAAACACACAAAACACGGCACTGCCACATGCTACTACCCGCGTCATGAGAGTTTCATGCTAATCAAGTCGGGCGGAAAGGACGAGAACCACATGGTTCCACTTACTGAGGGACGTAAAGCAACAAGAGGAGAAACGCAGCAGCTCGGTGGTTACCGGGGTGAGGGCAGGATGAGGGGGGTCGGATCCAGGTGATGAGGAGCCAGGACGAAGGAGCCGGGACTTGGGGTGTTGAGTGTGCACCGTGGTTCACAGAGGCACAGTGCACACCCGAAAGTGATATGCCAACCAACGTCACCCTGACAATTAAGATGGGTCCCTTCCAGCTGTGGCCCTGCCCTTTTCTGCTGGTCCCCCCCTTGGTCTTTGGTCCCTGTCCCCCATGGTGCCGCTCCCTCGGCACCTCGCTGCTGTGGCCGGTCCGTTTGCCTGCCGTGGGCTCTCCCAGTGGTATTGGAGGTGGCTGTCCTCAGCCCTTCTCTCCCCTGGGCTTCCAGGCCACTGATTCCTATTCTCCTCCTCCTCTACCTGCACTTAACCCTGCCCGCCCCCCAACATGGTCTCCCCCCGCCGTCCAACACCTGCGCCACCAGGTCAGAGGGCACCTGGGTCTGCCGCTCCTCCCCCATCTGTCATCTGCCCGTCACTCTGACCTTGTGTGGAAGTGGGTCCCTCATGTGAGGCTCTTGGCCAGTTCCACCTCCCACATACGTCTGGGGCCAGGCCACCCCGGCACCCCCACGGCTACCACGGCTCACGCCGCCATCATCCTGACACCTGCCCGGCCTCGACCCCACAGAGCTGCCTGAGAGCTTCTCTGGTGGTGGTGGTGGTTTTCTTGTTAATCCTCACCCAAGGACATTTTTCCATTGATTTTTAGAGAGAGTGGAAGAGAACGGGGAAAGACAGAGCGAAACATCGGTGTGAGAGAAACACATCGATCGGTTGCCTCCTACACGAGCCCCGACAGGACCTGGCCGGGGAGGAGCCGGCAACTGAGGGACGTGCCCTTGACCAGAATTGAACCCAGGACCTTTGGGTCTATAGGCCGACGCTCTATCCACTGAGCCAAACCGGCTGGGGCCCGAGAGCTTTGCATGTGAATCACGTCATGTCATGTCCCTCCCTGCAGAGCAGCGTCCTGGGTCCCGGCTGCCCTCAGTGACACGCTTCCTCACGCAGCTGACGGTGATCTGGGGTCCCAGCCGCATCGCCCTCCCACCTCATTTCTTCCTCTGCGTCACCTGTGGGCGGGCACCCTGAGCCTCGAAAACCCCAGGAGGGTTTCTGGCGCCCGGACTGGGGGTAGCCACTGTTTCTCTGCCCGGGTTTCCTACCCCGGGTCATGGTGGGGCTGCCTCTTCACACACGACAAGGGGCCTGAGGACACCTGGCCCGGCCCCCGTCCTCAGCTGGGACCCCAGGAAGCCTCGTGGGTTCTGCCATCACCTGGCCTCCAGCCACCCACGCACCTTCCAGGCACAGTTACTACCCAGGGACCCTCCCCGGTGGCCAGCACGGCACTGCACGGAGGAGGCACTGAGCCAGCGTGTGCGAGTGAATGGAGGGGGCAGCCTGGGCCCACGTGGTGTAACAGAACACAGACTCAACAACAGACACGGATTCCTCACCGTTCTGGAGGCTGGGGGTCCCAGGCCCAGGGGCGGCCCCCTCGGCTCCTGGTGAGCTCTCCTGGCTTGTCCGCGGCCGCCTTCTCGCTGTGGATTGAATTCACGCGGCCTCTCCTCCGCACGTGGGCGGCGGGGAGATCTCTGCCTCTTCTCGCGAGGCCACTGGTCCCTCGTGAGGGTCCCGCTCCATGCCCTCGTCTAACTCCCTCCAAAGGCCTCACCGCAAACGCCATCACACTGGGGTTAGGGCTTCGACATACGAATTTGGGGGGACCGGCTAGGACCCGAGAGCTTTGAGTCTGAGTCACATCACGTCCCTCCCTGCAGAGCACGGCCCTGGGGTCCCAGCTGCACTCAGTTACACGCTTCCTCACGCAGCTGATTCCATAGCCGCCTGAGGAAGAGGCCAGGTGATGCCAAAGGACCTCTCGGCTGGGCTCCGCTCTTGGCTCCGGAAAGGGGCGCTGTGCTGGCGCCCCACCCGAGGGCTGGGTGGGGACACATGCACCTCTCAGCCCCGCTCTGGTCCCTCAGATGGAGCCGCACACCCAGGCCGGGCCCCGCATAGCGACTCCCTAGGCATTTCTCTCTGCTCGGGAAGCCACCCCACGGAGCTCTCAGTGTTCCCAGGGTCTCGCGGTCCCACGCCCGCCACTCCCTCGGGCCGGTTCCTTCCCGTGGGACTCGTCCTCTGGCGTGGCCCCCAGGTCTCTGAAGGCTTAGCAAGACCCGCGTCCTCCTCACAAGACTCAGAGCCCGCGGGGCCCACGGCCGTCAGCTGGACTCTTCTCCTCGCTGCTGCTGGGGCTACAGAGGCTGAGGGAATGGCCCAGGAAGGGGTGGGATTTGTGACCCGCGTGACAACGAGAAGCTCGGCTCCTGAGAAGAACTCCTGTGGCCCTCACTGGGTCGCTCAGTGGTTAGAGCTCCGGTTCTCGGACTGAAGGGTCCCAGATTCAATTCCCAGGCAACCAATGGATGTGTCTCTCTCACATCGATGTTTCGCTCTCTCCGTGTCTCCCCCTCCCTTCCACTCTCTCTAAAAATCAACGGGAAAATATCCGCAGGTGAGGCTTAAGCAATGAAAAAAGAGCTCATGTGAACACGAATGACGTCATGGAAGTTTTCCAAGAACCTTTAGAAGCCTCCGGCATTTCCCCTGGAGGGGAAGGGTGGGGTGCAGTTTCAAATCTTAGCAGGTGGCACTTCCTCTCAGGGTTCCTGTCTCCTGCCCACACCTCTGCAAGTCTAGTGCTCCCTGCTCCCCAGTTGCAAAACCTAGGAGGCCACGCCTGTGTCTGCAGGTACCCGGCCCTGCTCCCGGCTCCCCGTGCCTCTGAGTCAACCACCTGTCTCTGATCCCTGTTCAGTGCTGGGGGTGGGGGTGGGGGGTCCCTGGCTCGGGAGGCTCAATCTCTGGGTGGAGTGAGGAAATAGCAAAGACACCTGAGCCCCTTACCTAGTAATGAGGACCCAGGAGGGCCTGCTAGGTTTATCAGACGTTCACACACCTTACCACGAATCCTGATCATGCTGTGGCCAGCCCCATTTACAGATGAGCAAACTGAGGCTCCACATGGGAGTTCAGACCTGCCCAAGATCGCCCACCTGGCAGTGCTGGTCACTGGGAGCCTGGGTGGGGGGAGGTTCCACCTGGGATGGCCGAGGGCAGACTCAGCTGTTCGGAGAGGCAGGCAAATTGTGCTTCCCGCAGGCAGGGCCTGCTTCCTGCCCGGATCCCGGAGCCGCTCAGCAGGGGCCTCCCCAGCCGCCAGCCCGCCCGCCCTGGGGCAGGATAGTTCTTGTTTCCTCTTCCCCCAGGCGCCTGCCCAGACCAGAGCCCAGGGAGTGCGGGCGCTGGCCTTCACCTGCTCCTCCGGAAGCTGAGGTGTCAGCCGCCGGACAGGGCAGAGCCCACGTGGGGCTCCTGGGGGTGGGTCTGATCCTCTTCTCTCCTTCAGCAAGCGGAGAACAGGGCACCAGCCCAGGCAGCAGCCCCTGCGCCCAGGTCAGAAAGAGGAGGGTGGCCCACATCCTCTCCCAGCTGTGAGGGCAGAGCGGCCCGCCCACCCCAGGGCTGCCCACAGTCAGTCAGGCTGCCCACAGTCAGGCTGCAAGGTTAGCCAAGGCTGCGGCCAGCTCAGCCTTCCCCGTGGGGCCCCGAGCAGCCGTGCCGACCCACGCTGGCCGGGGCCAGTCAAGCTGGTTCCACTCTGCCGCCCGGGCCCGGCTCCCAGCCGGGCGGCCTGCGTCTCTGCGCCCAAACCGCAGGTTTGGTTGTGGGGACGAGGAGGCAGCTGGCCAGGACGAAGCGCCCAATGGCTCCAGGCCTGACCTGACCCATGGCTCTCGTGTGCGCGCAGTAGGGACCCTGGCTGTTGGGGCTCCCTGTGGTGTCCCAAAATTCACACACACACACACGCACACGTGCGCGCACACACACACATACATACGCACACACGCATGCACGCACACGCACGCACACACACGCGCTGCACACTCCATTCTGACCCCATGTGGCTGCGTCTCCGTCTCCGCTGTGAGGCAGGGTCCGGGGAGGGCCCAGCTTTGGCGACAGGTGGAGGCTCACCTCGCTGTCCCCTTGGTGCCAGAACAGAGGCCCAGACGTGCTCCAGGGGAAGCAGAAAGGGGTGGGCGGTGAGCTCCCTCTGGAACCCTCTGTGGCTCCCTGCTCCTGGGGCTGCTGCTGCGGGATATCCCGCCGGCCTTCCTCTCCCAACCTGGGCAGCCACGCCGGGCACAGCACAGGCATGGCCAGCAGAGGGCGCAGTCGCCCCTCTGAACTCACCACGGGGCTTTCCCCACCATCCATCCCCTGGGACCCGGGCTGCTGGGGGCAAGAAATGAAGCAGGCGAGGGAGACAGACCCTGAGGCCAATATACCACCGAGGCGGCTGGCACTGCTGGGACGCAGAGGAGGGGGCCCAGCCTGCTCCTGGGAAGACCAAGACCACGCTCCCGTGCCCACTTCGGCAGCACACGTACTGAAATCCGAAGGATACAGAGCAGATTAGCATGGCCCCTGTGCAAGGATGACACGCAAATTCGTGAAGCGTTCCATTTTTTTTTAAAAAAAGACCAC